ATATAGTGGGTCGTCTCAGGGTTTGTCCGTCAAAGCACCATCGAAGGATAGATGAAAAGGCGAGCGGTTAAGGTAAAATTTGACTGTGAAGTCACTTGTATTTTGCGTTGTTGTAGACCCGGGTTCGGCCGTTTTTTCACTCACGAAACATTGTACTGATGCAATTCTGTCGGTGTCCCTAACCAAAGGTGCGACCGTTTGCTAGGAAAAGAACAATCTCTGTCTGTGTTATTCTAGCAAAGCATGATTTTTCGCTGCCACGCTTCACTTGAACCTGTGTATTCTTCTGTGACAATTGTTGGTGCTTGCGCTACTTCTATATCTGATCTCAATACGATGATGAGATGCAGTGTCGGATCATATCGGTCGTTCTCGTTTGCATCGCACTCATGCTTAGGATTACGAGACGGATAGATGTGTGTATAAACGCAGATGAACTATTTCTATGTAATTGCGACTGATCGCCGGAGTTATTAATTGCGGTTTACAGGCTATGTATACTTCTGGGGTGGGTTCACGGTATCGACATTTGTGTGGCTAAGTAGTCTACTTGTTCGATTCATTCTTCCGTGATGGTCCAGAGCATGGTCCCATTATGATGAGAACGATAGCTGAAGACACCACGTGGCGCTATATGTAAAATATGTTGATTAACGAAGACCAAAGGATACGCATTTCTTATACCCGTGGACCAGTGGGGAGTAGAAATGCTTTTCAAGAGAGTGGCTGACTATCGTACAGGCGCAGTATTGGCACGTTCTACGTACCATAGCGTGTCTAATTTAGTCCTAGTAAAACATATGCTATACGTCATACGCGACTATAATCCAATGTGATTTATCGATACTCGCTCGTAGGCTTTCCTTTGTATGCCTTCAAGCTTTCGTCGGAGCGTAATCAAATCTCGCCGATTTCGACGCTGCATCGACTGTGTGTTATCGTTTTCATATACGTATATCTTATATTTAGTATATGAATACTATCTCTTAGATGATTGATTGAAGCAGCGCACTGCATGGAGCGGATCTGAGCAGACGTTTTATGACAGATACATTATTATTATTATTATCATCGTCGCCACCATAGTCCTAATATCATTTTACTTGGCTTTACTTGGCCAGAGCTGGTATATTCCGGCTGCGGCTGCCCACAGATGCCTTTTATACAACAGTCTTTTACGGCCATTGCTGCCGATCCGATCAACGAAAGATGAAACCGTCGTTCGTTGACTGTCCCTTGACAACAACGACAAACAACCAACACAATAACAAACAGCAATAGCGTTCATACAGACGAAACAACCCGTTCTTATTATGTTCTCTTCAGAGCGAATCCCCTATACCGGTGAACGTCCTGACGTAACGACTTCAATTCATCCAAGTCGGATGTACCCGACAAACTACCTTAGATCAATGAACGTTTAATAAACCGTCCAGGCAGAAATTCGTTTGAAGATTGGAAGTCCAGTAACATGCAGACCATGCAATTGATTGATTAATCGTCTCATTTACACAGAGACTGCGAAGGACGTAACCTCTAGACTGCCGGCTGATGATATAATCTGAGGAAGGACAATCCTCGTCCCGTCAAAGTGCGCATGAACGAGAGGGAGCTGGCGGACATTCTGGGCTTTTTGTGGCATTTGGTACAGAATAGCAATTTACCAATAAGCGTAGCAACAAAAACGTTGTTAATTAACAAAAATAACGACCATAGTAAGCTTCTTGAGAAATTTTCAGAGGCATAACCACATTGAATTGCGGATGCTTTTTTCGCTGACCGAAGCCGGTTGGATACGTCGCTAATTTCAAGCCGTCGATATCGCTCGCACCCCTATACGACTTGGCGAGCGGGTCTTTTCATCAGTAGTAAACCGATTATTGTGTGCTTCGCAGTTATTTCGCGCTAGACAAAACAAATATCTTTGTGAAATTATCAATCTGTACAAACGTTCTTATATATTAAAAAGTTATTATAATTTAACTGAAATGAAACGTTTTCTGCGAAATCTACTATAAAGATTAGGCCGATATGAACCTTTGTGCGTTTAAAGGACAGATGTGTGCTGTTCAGACATTCAAATATAGCCGCCAAAACTGTATATTTGCCACAAACAACAACAAACGATTACGAAATATACAAAATTTTTGAATAAACAACGGCATCTAGCATGGTACCAAGTTAATGGGATTTGGTCCAATCCTTCTAATCAGTCATACAAAAATTCAATAGCTTGTTTATCTTCAAAGTACCTTAGATGAATATACATACGCCATCTTGAGGTAAGTTGAACAGCAACTTCTGTGGAGCAACGACGCGTTCCTGGCTATAAGTGAATATTTTCAGTGTAGAAAAACTTCGTCCATGTGAAAACATATGCTAAATTGATTGATGTTTTGCCAGTGTTATTGGTTATTTTATAGTTTTGCTCTGATCATACAAACGCAACTCAGATCTCGTAACGTTCGGCCTTGGTACGCTGCCTCTCCCGTTAGCGTCAATCTGGCTATCCATAACGCGAAATCCAATAGTTGCTACAGTGTAATTATAATCCAGGTAAGTGGGTAATACGAAATGGATTATCACCGTTCGTATATATATTTACGTAAATGCGTAACAACACAGAGCCGTACGCCGTTAGGCCAAAGCACGATGGCGTTTAAATATAAATAAAACGTTTCCCTGTAGCGTAACCACTCTATCAGATATCGTCAAATACAGTAACCATTATATAAGTAGCAATAATAGAATATATAGATGTTTCTATTGCGGCCGTCACAAACATGGATATTGTGGTTAATACCGATCGCGTCGTATGGGCATCCGACATGGTTTTATTGCGATATTATGCGAAATGAGGCCCTCGTAAAAGTTAGGCTGTAATCGTTACGCTACGATTTAGGCTATCTGCCCGCAAACTGGAGTAAGGACTACGTAAATTTTAACGCCTGTACACGGTGCGCGTGTTCAAGACGGGCAGGAATTGCTGACGGACATTTTCAACGAACAGAACTGAGTTCCTTTATTAATTTTAACAGGTACGCAGAGGTACGTGAGACTAAAATGACACATACGGATGATATTCTTACGAGGTATCGTTTGGTGCGCCTGCTTAATAATAACAACTTGGTAATTGTTCTTAAGGGGTTCAAAGGGTTCTGAAGTGCTAAACAGAGCCATAGTATGGGCCACTTTCGACCGGAAGGACTGCCCGAATTGTCACAATGGGTCGCATGCCGACCAGCGTCAATCTAAGAACGGTGATAACGTCCATGCCTGCAGCGGGTGTTTGCTTACTGGAGGTACTGGTCGAAAATGAAAATCGGTCGATATTATCAAAGATCTCGAACTCATGAATAGTCTCAAGGAAGTGCGGTGAGGCGATTAACAACGAACCATCTGATTATTCGGAGATAGCGTACGACCTCATCACCACGCTTTGATCACAACCTGTGTCGAGGACGACAGATGAAGCGTCGAGTTAGTATCCTTACTCTCCGGAATTAAGTGTATGTAATCATAATTGCTTCAAGGAGGGCCATAGGTGACGAGACACCGACAACGAAATTAGGTGGTAATGGAAATTATTAAGGGTAATAGGCAATAAGGGTATGTCAAATATACGAAACTTAAATGAAATTTTCCCCAGGATAGCGCAATATGTAACGAGGCTTAGAGATATGCGATGACAGTGTAGGTTCGAACACTTCACTTGGATGTTTGAAGGTTTCTAAAAGTACTCGTTATATATTTTCAGACAGCATAATATAAACGATTAGACCGTTTCGCTCTTAAACATAGGAATATCGGTTACATTCATCGACAATTGATTCTAACATCACTATTATTACCCTATATTGTCATGCAATTTTTCAATATGTTTTTGCTTGCTCTAAACACGTTAACCCCTGTAGATACTTAAAATTAGTCATAACCAACGATTATGTGCTATAAGCGATACCATGTAATCAATCATGCTGACACCGACAATTATAGCAATCCTATATTAGGGGCTAGCATCACCCGGCTTCTGACTATCATTAGAGTTGTTTGTCACAACGATCTGGAAGTGGAACTGTCGATTAACTCCGAAACAGGCAAATGGTTGGAAGGCCCCAGCTAGGCCTGCGTCGGCCTGTTGAACAGTTGGCGCTTCCTACACGAATACACCGTAGAAGAGGCGCTATCGTTGACGTTGTTGTTTGTTACTGTTGCCGCGACAACCGCAGCAGTAGAATTTCGTTGTTACCGTTATTGCTATTATTACTATGACTTTGATAAGGTGTCGACATTGACGTGGGAGATGGTGATATTGTTAAAAAAAACAACTAATGAATATAGAGGGGCTATTTATTAACCAACGAAGATAATACCTGATGACATTGTAGACAAATTAGCACGGCAACGTCCTCGTCGCCCGCTTAGTCAACAACGTTGATTTCTCATGCTATTAATAACAACCCAAATTTTTTACGCCTTCTTTTGTTTGCGTTTCCTGTTACCGCAACAGTTGTTTTTTCAGTGTTTTTGAAGCGAAGAAGCGATTTATAGTTTGTTGACATGGAGGGAATTGCGTGGCAATACTATACTTCGAACCGAAGTGCGGTTTCGTACATACTAGCTGTACATGCAACAGTGAGGATCACCATCATCCTTTCAACTTTATGCTAAGGGCCCTCGTTAGTGAAAAAAAAACTTGTTTTTAACTCTTACTTCAGTTGCCCCCTGTAACTGTAGCTAGTAATGAATGCCTTATTGATCTAGCTCAAATACGGTTCGATTTCTATGATGGCTCTATATGTAAACAACATATTTCATCAAGGTGCTTCGTCCTAGCTAATAAGGTAGCAATCCTCGGTTTGAAATATTATAGCATATGAGCGGTCAGGAAGTGTGTATGTGCGAAACGTGTAGAAGCTCTGAAAATTCCACCTGTACGGGTACGATTTCTACAAGATACGGCTACGCTTGTAAACAATACTCGTTATTATGTTCTTTTCCTACGGTTATTACTACCATTATCATGATTGCTATGGTTAGATACAATCATATTTTAAGTTCTCACGTTCGATGTGGGCACGGCGACAACGAGGGCGATGATGGGGACGAAGCGGGGATATTTTTAGAACAAAAAAGCAAATTTCGCGGGCTTCGAGAGATGGTATTACGGCAGAGCGGCGATTCGTGACGCTGGTTCCAGTGGTTTAAAAACCGTTATCAAGCGTTGTATAGTGCTGCTTATGAGTGTATATTTGTGTTTAGCGCTTCGGTTTGACGTAAACACTACGTTCACGTCGTTGATTAGTGTGTACGTAATTTGTATATGCTAATAGGAATAAAATTGGCTATTACAGTACTTTGCTCCCACAGCAGATATTGTTAACGGCCGGTTGTGGGACTTTGCCCACCGATGAGTAGAGCCCTTGCAGTGGCAATAAGAATTTTTGTTCCTTTTTAGAACTTTATGCTTAGCTGTACCCCAAGTCGATTGTTGCTGTTTTTATTGTTGTCTTCTAATCTATATTTAGTTTCTAGTTTCTAAATCCGATTCTGGGCGATCTGCCAGTACTGAAGTTCAGTCTTGTCTAATTCAGCTACTATAATCAATTGATTTTACGGTAATCATAGGGGATTCGTACAAAACGGTTAGGGAAAAAGTTGGATTTATTACGATGATTTCAATTTGAGGATAAAGTTAAAGATACTAAAGTTAAAGTAAAAGATAAAGTAGCCGAATGTTTAATGGCACTTTAATTCAGTTAGGGTAGCAGGTGAGTATGTTTCCCTAATTAATGTCACTCTTGGTCAGATTGAGCAGGTACTACCTTTTCTACAAAATAGATAATATAAATTGACTTTTTTTTAGGATAGCACCCAGGCATAATTAGCCGAACCGGAGTACCGTTAAACACAGTTAGCCATCTCCGCTTATCAAATAGTCATTATGGGTCTCGATTGAAAGTTTCCGCCCCAGTGGCCCAACACAAAAAGGGGATAAGTGGTATTGCAACGAACCAACCAGTAGCCGTATTTCATTGTCTACCTTACAACTAGTTTATTACTGTGAATGACCACTGGAAATTACCTGACGATGATACCGATCTCACCTATGCGTTTGGTCAAGGAAAGTTTATCTGATGACGATTCAATACGAGAAAGGATTCGACCAATATTTCCATTACGCAGAGCACTATCATGAAATCGAATGAAGCTATAAGCTTTATCATGGAAACGGCTCAATACGAGGACAGATTCAGCCGACACTTTCGTCCACGGAACATTTAGGTGTACCATAACAAAAACGACAAAACATTCAATAACAGACATTTCGGACAGCGGCACACGTCGTCGGCCAGGCAAGTGTTTCAACTTGAGACAATTAGACAAGCTTCTTTCAAGGTTTCATCTCTTCAAATTCAAGCCAATGTATTGCTTCCATGCGAGGCAAGGATCTATCTCCCTTCGCCATTTACTTTCTTGCAGGTCGGCTTTCGTCTGCCCCTACAGCTAGCGTTGAGGCAGCTTCTGTCTGGTATGGTCCTAAACGCCTTCGCATTATTAAGACGTCTGATCGTGATTAATATTATAGTTAGCTTTCCGCTGAGATCGATCCACGCTGAGAGGTGCAGTCGGCAGCGGTAATAACCGATAGGCATCGTTTCTCAGGCGCACCCTAATTGGCCATTGTTACCGCCTGAACCGATATCGAATCAGCCGCAAAAGTATCGACTGTGTCTGTGGTCGGTGTATTGTTCTGACTTTTTAGCAGTTACCGCCACACCGTGTTACTACATCTTTAGACAGAGCAAACTTTTCCTTGTTAGAGCTGGCAGACCGAAGCTACTCGCGACTAAAGAACAGCTACCCGAATCTATTTGCGTTCTCGTCAACGAGAGAAATAATCAGACAGAAACGGCGCGGGGCGTCAAGCAGGATCAGCTAAATATTACTAATGGTGGTAGAATTTTTACAGGGGCAATCAGTTCGCCCTGAAAATTGATAGCGTAACTGGCTGAGAGTAGGGCGGTGGATACGCAATAGCAACTATAATCTACGAGGCTGCTGCCGACAATTGAACCAGAGCTGCCTTCCCCGATGGATAATTACCGTCTCATTATCTATTGTTGTGTGATGGTGTAAATTTCAACAGAGTTCGGTGTTGGCCGCACTTTTTGCGCGTATGTAGGTACGCTCCTTTGGCCGCTAATATGACCACTTATAGCTACCGGATAATTGCTGATGCATATACGGTATCGTAGGACAGACGCTGGCCTATTTCTATTGAATCTACTTGTAACAGAAACGGTCAAGACAACGTTGGAAGAACAGCATTCATTTACAAGCATTACATTTATAGTGAAAAATAATCGGCCCAAGTTTGGCGACTTAAATCGACTTAAAAATCGCTCAATATATAGACGCGTTTTGAAGTTGTGAATTAGATAAGCATAGGCTCAACTCGTAACAACAACCATAGAAGCCTATAAAAATCATCTGTTGTATTTAGAACGGGTTTAGCAACCAGAAATCACTGGATTACTGTTATTATTATCTTACTTGTTGTAACTTTTAACTTAATATTCGTGTACGTAACAAGGCGTTCATTGGTAACCGCTCGGCAGTACTAGTAATTAGCGCACGTTTCAAAAAAGGTAAAGCAGACTTTCGCAACGCCCGTTATCGAATGCAGGCTGGCGTGGCCGTCAGCTTGTAGCCCATTGTAATTAGCCGCAGTCCATTTAAAGAATAAAGACATCCATGATTGCCCTCAGCTGCCTACAGCAGGTACTTACTAAATCAGAAAAGGCCGGGAAAAACAGTCGACGCTGCAGTACTGAAAGCTTCCAACGAGCATCGTCCATTCGCTCAGTGCGGCTCACAACCCACCCCCCGTGGCTCCTCGACCATTCCTCATTTTCGTTTGGCTATCTTTACCGAAATGTGTGCGTGCGCCGGTCCCCAAGTCAATCCGTCCGTTTATGCGTGTGTGTACGTTGTTCTGCTGCTCTCGGAAATAGCGGTTTCTCTTGCCGCTCGCTCCGGAACGCTGTGATTAGACGACGCCAAACCCAACAACGATTACGAGTAACTGCGGTTGAGCAGGTGTTGCTATTGCTACTACTAAACAGCATTAGCGAATTCGTTATCAAACGCAGCGGCCCAAGGCCTAAACTAGATCATTGTAGGCGGGCAAAAGGACCCCAGACGTCTCCGTTCACCTCCCGCCTTCGCGCGCAACGAAACGAGAACGGATGCGAAGGAAACGTTCATCATAACGGGAACTCGTTTCTTCTGCTTGTGCTACTGTTGAATTTGTTGATTCTTAACTACGTGTCACAAGAGAGGCTCATTCAGAAGCGTTTCACGGATGCGTGCAGGCTCACACGTAGATACGACACAGGCGAGACACGTTTACTGCCCATAGAGAGGGTTCCTGTGACGGTCTAACCGTAAACAACAATAACAGACCGGATTGTGTCGGCCGCTCAGTGTCAATTAGACATTGCGAACGCGTTAACTGCAATGGCTTGAAGAACGTAACGCACTTAGGTCTCTTGAGGGGACAAGGAAAGGGGCGAGACAGCGAACCACCCAAACAACGGCGTTTTACCGATAGACAGAGCGGTTAGAGGGGTGACAATCTGACGCCGCGCGACCTTGACGCTACTCAAACAAAGGGTCAGTTGCAGAAGCAGTAGCGGTGACGCCGCCGGTGGCGGCTAGCAACGATAACAGCAGGAAAGATCTAAGTCCCCATAATTACAATCAGACGATGGCTACTGCTGCCATATAGCCTATACCGTGTAGTATATGCTGAAAAGTAATTGAAATGATACGCCAATACCAATAGAATCGGAAAGGGCGTCGATGATGGTCGCCACCAAAGAAAATTATTTTATATTAATATAATCATTAATAATTATAATCACCTATTATCTGTGTGCTCAAATGGAAAGTAGAGAAAAACTCTGGCTCTCTTTAATATTGAACTGCTAGGATTACTGGCAAATAAAAATGACTATTATTGGTTTGGGATATGTACCTAAGACAATGGTCGATGAGCAGCTATTGTGTCGGTTAGAGCCGATTCCGTTTGTGAAGACGATGCGTGGCGCTAAAATCATCTATCAACGATTACGAGTTTTGCGCTTCAATGGCACACACAACTGCGGTACTAGAAGAATCGGTCATACGTAAATCAGCTTTTCTTTTCTGTACGTAAACTAGACTTATTGACGATCCCTTTGACGACCCACACCGCGTTGGGTCAATTACGTGTGTGGAGTTTCATTGGTCTCAATAAAGTATATTGTTAGAGTTAGGACAGATGTGATACCTTATCAAGCGACCGAGTACATGTAGATGCTGTGCATTTCTATATTGGATATGCAAATGGCAGTTATTACAAGTACTGGTTTCGTTGACAAACATTTGCCTATATAGACATATAATCTATGCGTGCGATCTGCCTTCAGTGTCCTACGTTATATGTAAATTTGCTAAAGACGTTGACATTGCTAATAATACTGTGCCAGCGTGCGCTTTCTATAAAATCCGTTCCCAAAGCTCGTTCTGCTTATTCCGTCTTAATGGAGATAATTTCGTTGTGACACGAACAGGAAGTTGGTGCAGAGTTACCCCATATGATCCTGTCGACGTGCACACGTGGCTACACAGTTACATGGCGTAATAACCTAGATCCGAGTCAATCAATTAATTTTCGATCTCTTTACTGCACCTATGTTACAACCTATAATCTCACACATTCTGCCCTTGTCATGCTTTGGCCTGCCCCTTTACGTTGATATTCATTTATCACTTGATAACTGTAACTATGATGATATAAATAATAATAATAAACGATTAGTGGCCCAGAAAACCTTACTTGAGTTACGATTTTCCGGCGTAGCGATACGTCTGCGCATGCGTACGTCCATACCCGTCAGCGACTACAGCATCAAATTGGTATTTATTCCTGGTTTAGTTTAACGACCGCTGCCTAGTATCACAAATGAATCGAGATTACGCATCTCCAACCTTTCAGATTCCGGTAGACGTCCAAGAACGATGAGAGCGTCTTCGTCCCGTGATCAGGCGGAGCCAACTAGCGCCTCTGGTCTCGGCTCTATATCGTAGGTATAAAACAGTTTTCGCTACCGCTGTAACGCTGCGGTTCCCTAACGAGAACTGATTGCTGCTCTGCTGATGCGAAGGACAACCTCATAGTCCTAATACTGATCCGTGGTTGTTATACCGGGACGGGAATGGCGGTCACTGCTACTGCTTCTGTGGCTGATGGAGACGCTTCTACTGCAAATGAGTATGCTAAACTTGGAAGATATCTGATAGGGTACGTCAGTAATATTGTTGTTGCTTCCCAAGGTCAATAGCAGTGGTGCGGCCACGGCGTAGCCAACCGGCGAGCTAACGCCGGTCGCTGCATGTGACGCCGGCGTCGCCAATGAATGCGGATAGTGAAAACTTTTCGGTTGCATTTGACAAACAGGGTCACAGCCGAAAACAATCCCAGGCTGGATGTTACAGCGCCCGATACGCCGTAACTTCCGCCTGATGACGCTGTCTGTAGAAATCTGTGTAACAGCATCAGCTGTAGCAGGAGACGCAGGAGTCTGCGATAAAGTCAAGAGAACCACCAATAATAATAATGATCGAGCTTCGGCCCCGAACACCGAGCGCGGCCGGAGATGAGAGGGTGCTCTCGCGCAGAAAAATCGCTAGGGTAGAAAATGAAGACAGAGATGATGAACACTTACAATTAAGCACAGTTCGTACTACGCAACGAATGGGAAAGAACGACGAAGTAATTCGCATTAGCAACAGCAGCAGTAACAACGACGACGACGACGACATCTGGAGCTAGGAACTGACGAGCTATTCCCACAAAACGCTGCGTTTCGTAGTGCGCTTGTTGTAGGCCAATACATTGGCGTAACTCACTGTAGGCGGTGTGATTGTTTTCACAGCTTCATCAATTGTCGCGCCAGTCGTTGAGCGTAAAAAGGCACAGGAGCCGTTGGCAGGGTTAACGTGCAGCTGTGTATGAATGTACGCACATGATCATGATTCCTGGCAGTGTTTTCACTGGGGTAACCGGGATGGTCGCGAGCGTGCTAAACTCTTTATTTCGTCGGAGACGTGTCAGTTTTCTGCGGACGTAATGGCTTGATGCTATTTGTCCTTTTCCGAATTTCAGTTATTGTATACCGATGCCGAGAAGAGATAACAGGAATTGATTATATTCATATAGTAGTTCTACGGTATGTTCATTATAGAAACAAATCTTTGAGCGCCACGCGTCCACAGCGGCTATAGCACGGGTGTTGTGAGCTTTGTTTCTGTAAGGTTTGCTTTCTTTTATACTATCGACAACATCTCTGCATGTGCACTAACTATAATATTATATAGGAGTTTATCTCACGAGAACCGTCTGCTCGGAAACGTTGAGAGATCCTTATTTTTGCTGCTTCTGCTGATAGGTAATACTGGTTAAAGGTGAAAGTAAGGCTCGATAGGCATAATCTACATAGGTTTGCAGTTACTGAACCAGTAGAATTTGAATGCATTTTTTTGGATGGAAAACGTCCTTAAGGACGGCGACAATGCCTACATACAAAATGCTTGTTGATTGTGTCAGACGATTGGTTACTTCAGCCTTCAGGGGAAACGCTTCGCGTCACATCAACAAACCTACCTAATTGCCTTCTGTTTAGGCTGTACAGAACATGTGGAAGGTATACAATTATTGGCACAGACAAAGATGACCTTGTTAACTATGAATACCCTATGAGCAACATATGTAGTTGTTACTTACTCAACTTATTTGCGGTCCAAATTTCCAAATCGAAGTTTACCATCGCAACTCATGTAACTTTAAATATATATATATACTTTAAATATATATAAATATATGACAACAATGACTAAATAGCGTTGCGTCGATGACCGGCAGGCGGCCATGACGGATTCACAAAATAATTCAGTTTAAGAAAAGCGGGATGGGAATGAATCAACACCAAGTTACAACAATTAAACGATTCGCTTAAGTCTATGTGACCGTTGAGGACTTAAGCATCGTCGACTGCCTGTTCGTCCCAGCAGATGAAGCCGCCGATCAGAGCCTTCGAAGGCGAACAGAAGTAAATAGGTTGCAACATTTTCTCTGGACACTTATGCCGAATCTTCTACGGTCCAACATGGGTTTGCCTGCTTATTCATACTCGGGTAACATGTAGCGGTGTAGTTTAATTCTGTTTACGTATATTTACCGTGCGCACGATGCGATAACGGCAAGGAGAAATTCTGCGGTATTAGTAATCGTTCCCGGTCGAGTAGAGGTCCGGTACAGTGATTGGTGTTACAGGAAGTTCCTGCCTGTTTTTTTTTTGTTTTTTTTATAGAAAGACTAACTTGAAATGAAATAACCGCATTGTTTCCTATCAGGCCAGACGATCGTGACAGGTCAGTTCGAAAAAGCATCGAACATCGAACAAGCGCTAACCGAACAGCTCGGAGTAACGTATCTATGGCGCATAAAACAGTATAGGGTAACGACAAGTTGTCTTTCGAGGCGACTGTAATTACGTAAGGCAGACTGGGCGGCTATTGTTGTTGGTGTCCGTACAGACCACGTTATTGAAGGTGAGTGATTTACACGCACGTACGTATATGATCGAAAACCCGGCAGCGAATACTGCTGAAATTACTATGATATCCCTGATCAACTTGAATGAATGAAGATACATCATAATCTTTACCAACGGAGGATTGATATCCTTGTAGAGTGCGCAGATGCTCGATGTGGTGTTGCTACATTATACAGAAAATGTGTATATATGTAATTTCTGCTGTTGCGGCACTTCAGTCTGAACATTTATTCGATCAGAATAAAAAATAGCTAAGTTTAATCGTTAATTACGCGATGATCAGTGTTCGCCTATCAATACAATGTTTAATACATCAATAGAATTGCCAAGAACGATTCATTCTGCCACTCGACCCCAATTTCGGGCCGGACAAAATCTACTACCTACACGAGATATACGAAAATAACGTATGTCATCAAGTGGTCGTCCATCTGTCGCCCCACCTCACGAGCTGTGCATACACTCCAAAAACAGGGTGAGCGTGTCCTCAAGCAGGCCTCTCTTATACAATGCATACATCATATTTAGACAACTTTTTGCCTCATCTATCTGTTGACTTGCACCCCCCAAGTTCTAGAAAAATTCATTTGGACAAATTTACTACTTTTTTTTTTTGCTTTTACCTATAACAAGTACTGCAGCGTCACTAGACGGAGCTTTGTAGTAGAAATAAGCTGTGAATCGTGTGCAATTCCCAAAACCTCGTCTGCCGGACTAATCGAGATAAAACTTCATATCAGCTTGCGCGGATTACCAAGCTGTTACGTCATGAACCTCTTTTTGCTACTGCACGAGCGACATTCGGGAGTAATCCTGTATTTGCACCCAAAACGCCTGTCTCTTCCCCTGTTACGCTTGTCTTTCTTCTGTCCATTTGGTCATTGTGGCAAAGCTACCCTACCGAGTAATTTTTTTCTACGTAAATGTCAGCCTCCTGTTATTACTAAAAACAGCAGATTAAGTCGAGGGTAAAAACACCACCTAACAAACAGATCAGTATTTCAGCATAAACCGCTTTTCGTTCCATAACATTATGATATTATCTTTCGGCGATGATGTTGATCAGCATAATCATCACCGGTACGGAGAGTGATTGAAGCACGCAACGAGCATAACTTCAATGTGACACAATCCGACAATGCCAGCGGTGCCCCCTCGCAAATGACTCACTGATACAAATAGCGTGTGGCGTGAGCCTGGTCAGAATACATATACGAAAGCTTGTGACTGCAAATTATGTATAATTTGGTAGTAGGGGCGCGAGAAAGAATACAGGACAAGGAGAGATGTTGGCTTTAAACATGTATCCAACGAAGAAGAAATACCGTCCACGGACGGTTCCGTGTGGTTACTGTTGACCGCATGACGCATTTGAACTTAGAAGCGTTAGCATGTAAGCGGTGCTTACGAAAATAAGATAAATTTTTCCAGGACTAAAAGCGTCTTATCCAATCTGATGTTTGCTCTGATAAATTTAGAGAAGAAATGGTATAAAGCGATTTCTTTGTGTTGCTGTTTAAATTATGGTCGTAGATGCTGTGATGAGAATTTGGCCTGTTTTTTTAGCTACTGAACTTTACTTTGCTCAAAACCCTAATAGTTGATGGCCATGAACTAAGTGCTATACTAATTTCACGCCGGTTAGTGCTTATTTTAGCAAAATCAAACGGAGTATTTATGCAATGATTTGTCGACCGGTCGCTCTTAGCAAGTTGCGGTTATTGTTTATCGCCTAGAGTGATTGTTTCCTTTGAAGCAGACAGCAATCTTACTTGATAACGGTGTGCTGACAAACGGCACTAAGGTTATTCAGTTCTTAAAAAAACAACAGTGAGGTAATCAGATATAGAACTGTAGAATTTAATATAGAATTATAAAAAGATGGTAAGGAGCGTGTGCTGTCTTCAAAATCAACAGGAATGAATCTGGCTAGTCTTATGGCGAGGACGCCATCATGATAAACTGTACCGTTAGGGAATTGATAAAATTGAAATGCTATTACACACAAACACTAGGAAACTGATCTGATTGATTAAATCAAATATGAGACCCAACAAAATATAAGATCTTTCTAGGACCATAGCCATGTTATTGTGCGTAGCAAGTCTGGGGCGAACCCCTACTTACTTAATAGGTACTTAATAGGAAAACTGGGCCACCAATGATATTGCTATATATTCACATGTAATAATAATTGCAGTAAAATTCAATTTTGTAATATCATTCAAATCATACAAATAATCAGATTACGCCAGTGGATCGTTCTCATCGTAAATCACCATCCTGATCGTAAAGATATCCGAAGCAAGCCTAAATTGCCCCGGCTAACCCAAGTGGGACAGCTCATAAAAACACTCTGATTACAAGGTAGGCTATCGTACGAAGATCTATCTACATGTCCATCATTCGATCGACGAGTCACTCAGGAAAAAAGGCGAAACATAATAGACGAAGGCTATCGCAGTTATCCTTCGAATATTTTACCCAAAATTTCTACTGTACTTCAGACTGTTAAAATCTAACAACCGATTTGTCTATTGGAGTGAATTTATCTTGGTTCATCTGTTTGCTGTTAGAAAAAAGTCATATTTCGTAAGTGAACTCCTAGCACATTATTGTTGAATCCGTCGCGTGGACGATTTACATCGGTGCCATAAAATAAGACAAGGAAAAAAATCGCTTACTTTGGTTCTATGCCGTTAATCGCGAAGCGTAAATTATAAAATCGACGATTCAAAGCCCAAAACATCTATCTTTAATGATGTCGAGGCGCTGCGACGCTAGAGACCCGAACGAGATTTTTTGGCTTCCAATCCTCCATGTTATACATCTTTGCACCAGTCTTAAGGCTGCAGCCATAAACCTAGGTAAGCTTCACATGTTCAGCTTTGCTACGTCCCGCTCGTGAGTATGGCCTTAGGTGGTGTTTACCAATGCGTCCGCGCAAGCCGTATGGGCAAACGCGCACTGTCGATCTTGAAACGGGTTCCAGGTACGCTAACATGCGATGTCCTTTCAAACAACTCTGATGTTTATCGACCGTAGGGTCGCTAGCTATTGACGCCGGACATATTTAATTGTTTTTTTTTCCACAAGTAGTATTCAAACTAACGGCCGTTTAGTTAGTTAACTTTTTCTAAAGGCACTACCTATTCATCTACAACAGCAAAAAATGTCCACTAAATGCAGGAAATCACGTTGTTAATAAAAAAATTTAAAAAAAAAACCGGAAAAAACAAGAATCATGAACTAAAAATGGTCACTGCTATGAAAATAGAGATAAAAATAAAAGCGTTCTTTTTGTCACTTGTTTATTCTAGGCGACCTAGAAAGCGGAAAAAGGTTGCGCCTGGCATTGTCGGACCAAAAAAGGACCCTGATCGTCTTTTCTTTCGATCGTATTTGTCCTACTGCTTATTGCATCCAGTTCACAGGTAGAATCCTAGAGCCGCGAATCATTCGTCAGCCGACAAGCAATGCACCATCGAATGAAAGTGTTCTCGTGACTATCGATGGATAAACGCGTAGACGGCACTGAAATTTAGGTCCACGCCCACCCAGGACTGTCTTACATAGACACACATACACACAATAGATAATCCGTGTATATACATTGTAGTTTTGTTGGTTTTTAACGAGCTACACTTTTTTTTTACTTATAGTAGATCTACTATCATTGTTATTATTCAGATTACTGGACATAACTGATTTTTGCTGTGGTCGCAGCGAAGGTTTTTCAGTGCGGGCAAAGCCGGTGGCCAACCAAGGATGGCACACGAGTAAAAATTTAGTCCCGTCTATTACACCAAACCCCAGTTCGGCTTAAGCCCAGTTACTAACAGTTCTAGTAGTTAGCCATTAGCGCCGGCCGAAACACCCGTCTAATCCGAGGCAGAATCTGTCCTTATAACCCGGGTCTGTATTAGCTCGGTGGCATATATTTGTACATTATTTTTTCTTGCGTAGATTTACATGAGCCCGTGTAATTCTGTGGTTTGTGTAACTCTTGGGTGGCCAAGCAGTATCAGCAACGATGTTGGAACACCAAGCTAAAAGTAGCAATAGTTACTTTTTGGCGAACAAACAAATTCAATGGCAACTACTAGACAGATCTACTGACCGAGTACTTAGCTGAGCTGAGTTTGTTATTACCGTTGTAAGCCCCCCGGGGGCATCGATCGGAGCACCCAAAGGCTGAAGCGCACCAGCATCTCAAAAGCGGCATAAAAATGGCGGCCACACACAAATACACTGACAAATACAGTCGTATTCACACGATGGTAAATACCAATGTTGTTTTACCGCCGTGCCGCTAATCGGCAGCGATTGTTGACGTTCGTGGCTGGCGCCGACCTTAACCGGTCCCACTTCGACAGAGGAGGGGGGCGGAATAACCTTCGATCAATTCTTCGATGATTGAATGTGTGTCGACCCTCATTCGGTCTAAAAATGTCCGTGTATACGATAGCCGCAGTCGTCGGTTTATTGATGATGGTTACTAAAAAATCATCTCGTCCTCGTCGCCTGTTGCTGCTGCTGCTGCTGCTGCAATTTTTAACTTTGTTTTTCTTGTCAGCGAGAAAAGACATTTCGAATCGATCCCTTAATAATGGACCAGCCAGGCTGGTTGGGGATTTCAACAAACGCATATCATGACAAACGCCGATATCGCTATTTAGGCTGCCTTGGCAGTTATAATTGCTGAGTCGGCCAGATAAGAGGACTTGAAAATTGACAGGAAACAGGATCGGGCGACAGCGGATTTACCTAAAAAAAGACGACAAGATAAACGAGCTGTTCGCTGCTTTTAAAAGATATTCCATGATACGATCCGTTGTATCGTTGTTAACAACAAGAAACACCATAAGCTAAGCAAAGATATCCAAGTAGAAGTGTTGACGCAGTGTTACTGCACGAAAGCCCTGCGAGCAGTCTCCGACGGCTTACAAATATAGAGCGAAAATTCGACCTCTGTAAAGGTAATTTTGCGTTACTCAATCGATTCTCGTATCATTTCACTGGTTTTTGGGCGATGCAGACCTTCATGCTCTGCGCGTCGAACCCTATAATCGTTAGGAGGATGGGAAGTCATAGAATTCATGGAATCGAGCTAACACGTCTGAGTCTTCTAATTGAAGCCCACTATAATGTCGTGACGTTCGGGAACGGGTAGGATCGTCTGATCAAGCGGAAAGTTATCAGTTCTACGTCTTTAGCAATGCGACTCTGCCCAGCAAAAAAACGGTATACATATGTATAGATGGGTGTGCGTCTAACACGCGTGACGATGCGGGTGTTTTTCTTGGCTCTCAGTTTCGCACGTGCGTGGGTTGGGAACATAATCAAAGATAGCTAAAAGCAGTTGACCCACATAAAAGTAGGCAGTGACAATTATCAATTAATAACGGATTCTAATTCTCTGTTGTTACCAGCCGCTAGACTACTATTCAAAGGTTGTCGCTGATGTAATTGTTGAATGTTCTTATGGGGCGCATACGACTGGGTAATGAATTTCTGGCTTAACTAGACTGCAATTAAATCGACAATTGATTTTTCCTCGTCGAGTTCGTTCTCCTCGTCTCGCTTCATATCAACAATTTCTGGCCCGTATAGGACATAGTATTCCATTCAAGGTTCATCCTTTTATAATACAATTTAGTAATTGCCACTAATGGCGGTGCACCAAAAGAAGTTCTGAAACAACGAAGTTCCGAGCTGTCGTTAACGCAACCCATTTACTAGTCCAATTGTTCAAGGCCTGTCCTTACAAATCACTTATTATGTAAACGATAGATGTATAATATACGCAAATTGTATGCAAAGTTTTTTCCAGACTCACTGCTGACACTTTCGGTGTATTGAATTATCCCGAATCTATACCGAAAAGCATTATTACGGAGGTCACCCGGAAAGGGGCTTACACAACAATATAAGCCTACTTCAGTTGCCGCTGAAGTCCTCAAGGGACAGGCTTATATCACGACGTGTCGGCCTCGATATATAATAGTACTATGTGTTATTTTCTAATTTTAGATAACTTCAAATGTTCGTAACTTCTTAGCTGGAATTCAGCAATCAGCAGCAGTAGCCATTACTTTATGACTTTCTCTGTCCTTTCTGTTCCGACCTGCACAGACGTCCATGCTTTGCAGCTATCTCCTTATTCGAAGAATATGACTATTGTGCTTGTTAAATATAAGAGATAGGCCGAAGAAAACCAAGAAGAAATAAGCGGGAAAAAATAAATAAGTTACATTATTTGATAAGGGCCGAAGAAAGAAGCTAACAAAGAGTTTATCTAGCGTCTTGCACTAAATTTTGGTTGGCGACAAACGACTCGAATATTTTGTACGACACCGATTGTCGACCCATAGAAGTAAACCTGGCTTGTGGCCTGATAAACGCTAGACAAATGAAAATCCATCGACAGTTCCGGTTATTATGACGATTACTACTGATTTATGTCCATTCGATATGCGGGTCCCGCAATCATTAAATACATAACATTATATGTATACACATAGATATTTTGCCTGATAAAAGTCATCAGTTGTCACTTCCTAAACAGACGATTGCGGATCGAACTCTTCACCATTCAGGCATATAATGCAGCGGTTGGATTTTGTTAGCTAATTAGAACGGCAGTGTCCTTTACGAGCACTGTAGCCAGCTAAAACCTTTCAGTATTAAAACATGAAGATACACTGTTAGCTGTGCGTAATAACATTAATATAACATAAACTATCATAAAAATTGAGTCGATTTGTGTTACATCTGTTTATACGTAAAAACATGGGGAAATCTGTGCTTGATGGCCGTTCATATTACTCACATTGCCGTTGCTATCTATCCGCTTTTTACTATTTCGAAAATTCGAAATTATCCACCAGAAGCCCCAATGAGATCACTAGAAGCCCGGTTCCGTTGGCGCAGCTACAGGCGGCACACGGGTCTTCAGGGCAAACGACACTGTCAGTGGTTGAATCTGCCCCAACGGTTTCATCATTTAGCCGACGTACAACCTGCAAAGGCCATCTTATTTGCGCGTTTCCCTCTTATTACTAGAGTCTGTGGTAATGGCGCTTGTTAGCTTAAATAACATATAACTAGTGAAAAATGGTGCCACGGGGCAAATGCTATGTTTACTAAGGAGCGCATGTGGCTAAGCGGGCCAACAGTGGTAAAAGGAGAAGTGATCTTTCTCGCAGCACCGGCAGACGACGAGATAGCAAGGAAAAAAAGACGAAAAATACTTTCGCACCCTCTAGAAATCCGTTAAAATTGGAAAGGAAAGTTATGATTATTAAGTTTGGCTTCCCTGACTCTGTTGGTTGGACGAGCAATAATAGTATGCCAGATAATTTCTTTTTTTTCTTTTTTTTTTTTTACCAGAAATCGACAGAAAATGAAAAAGCCGGCATTCAATGGAAATGACGGAACAGGCATCCCCATAATCACAATGGAATGATACCTCGTCAAAAATTCGAAGATCAATCCGTTCTTTTTAATGTAGTCCTAGCGCTATGGAAACATTCACTTTAGTCTTAGTACTATAGTAGTCAGTAGCGATGACTAAGCAGACGTACAAAGACCAAGAGAAAACCTTGTCGAGCCTTGGATCGAACATTTCTAGCGAAGCGCTCGGTTCGGCTAATGGCGCGTCAATGAATAGGAACCCTGACATGTCAGTCGGTCTGTATATGTATACTATATTCTGATATGCGTGTGTAGTGAATAGTCCCGAACAGGCCTCAATATGACGAATTGTGCTTTTTTTTTTGTTTTTGTATCAAAAAAAAAAAAAAAAAAAGTTGACATAACGTGAAACACGGTTATGACATTATTTTGAAGGATGAATGAAAAAAAAAGATGGAATGTTAAGCGTTCTTTTTGGAATACAAATCGTCTCGCAGAACAAATGCATGATCGTGCTGTATATAACTTAATTTTTTGTTTATTGTTACGAGATAGCATTTGTGTCTGTTGTTGAGCGTCTGGCAAAGTCTGTTTGTACTAAGCTACCGGGAAATACGAATGAAATACAATAACACACGATAATAACAGAGGCACGTATCTGCCTGTCTTTACAATGCTCCCCATTGGCCCCATATCTGCTAACGCAAAACGATCCAAATAAAACGTTTCATAAAGTTACAATTAAAGTACTTTACCATACGGTATTCGACTGCTTGTATTGTTAATTATTATATAGCCTATGTGGTGCCTTCACTGGCATAATTTACCTGATCGATAAAGCTATTCCCATCAGTATGAAACGCAGCCTATACGTCGTGCTATGTCTTGGATAACCGTTCGGTGTTAATTTGGTGATTATTTGATTTTTGGTATCTTTTTTTCTACCTATCAAAGATTCAGGCAGCGTATAAGCAAGGAAATGTCAGCGTCCATTACATCCACCTTTTACTATAGCTCTCTACGACAAACGACGATGTTTCCTATTTTGTATCGTGTATAAAAAGAGGAAATTTTTTAATGT